TATATACTCACCATTAAATTTACAAAATAAAGAAAAAAAATTTGAAGACGTGTTAGAGATGATGTAGTAAAAGAAATAGTACCTTGCTTCAAAGCTTTAGCTTTGGCCAAGAAACTAGAAAGATTTTTCTTGTATTTGCTATTTAAGGTTTGAAATTCAAACAATGAATTTTTTAGCATGTTTATAGGTTTTTAATTAAATCTTGGCCTTATTGCCATAGAATAAAGTACTTAAGTAACTCGAACCAATGAGTTGAAGGATAAAAAATAGTAAAAAAATATAGTTGATGATGACTTATAAAAGGCAAAATTTTACATTAAATTACTTAACTTAATTAAATTATTAAAATTTTATTAAAATAAGTAAGCCCTTAAATTTAGTAATTTAAACAATTTAATTCATTTTTATGGTAAATTTAATACACATTTATACCTCACAAATATGATGTGTATTGACTTTATCCATGCAAATAAGGTTTAAACATGTATTGAATTTATGATACAAAAAATATTTAAATTATATAAATTATTAAGTTTAAAAATTTATTTATTTCAATAAAAATTTAAAGATTTAATAGAAAATATGAAATAAGTTGAAAGGCTTTACATAAGGTTTTGGCCTTATTAAAAAAATTTTAAGGACTTGGAAAGCAATTAACCATTCCAACAAAATGAGATGCATCCCATTAAGATATCAAAAAGATAGGACTGTTCTTTTAAACATTTTTAATTTCATGTTAGGCAAAGGGACATATCTCCTTCAGCCTTTATCCAACTTTGTCTTCTGTTTTCCTTACATTTCATGCATGCCTTCCACCAAAGTAATACTATTATTCAACAACAACAAAAAAACTGTAATCTTTTAGCAAAAAATGAAAAATTTAAAAGAGTTCAGATAAACTTTCATTTGGGAAATTTAGAAAAGGAAAGAAGGGAAGGACCGATAGGTCTGCCAGTTCTTTGTTCCTGGGAAGTAGTCCAAAGTTTTAATGGTCAAGTTCAATGTAACCTTGGATATGGTACCAGAAACCCAAGAAATCCAGAGGGAAAAACAAAAACAAGATTCACAATTTATGCCATTTGATGACACAAGTTGACAGTGCCAGAAAGGATATATATGCAGGGAAAAAGGAAAATGAAAGGACATGATGGAATTTTTTCCCTGCTTCCATACGGGTTCATCTTCCCAGCGAGAGAGTAAAACATGTTATGTCACTGATTCTCTGCCTTTTCTCTTCAGATCTCACAGATTTTTTCATGTTGGGCATTTTATCGAAAAGTTAATGAGCACCTCACAGAACAGGACAAGCACTAAAAACCAGTTGAGTAGTCTCTGATTTGTTTCAAGAAATGCAAATTTCTCAAAATTCTCCAAAAGGTTTTTCCATCCAATACCCAGAAATGCTATATTTTTACTGTAGTAAATACAATGGAAAATCAACAACAACATTACCAACAGATATGCAATTGATACATTAGAAAGGGATTCCCACCCGAATTCTATAAAAACCAAAGGTGACGTTTCCCTGACTTTTTTAGCTACTTAGCTACTCCAACTAAGGTGTTGCTGTGCATTAAAAGGACAATGGAAGAATAAAAAGAAAGTAAAGGCTCATTGAAATGGACCCAACAGGTGGTCTATCATTGATGACCAAACATTGTACAATTGGTGGATATATAATGCCATCCTATCAAATTACCCCCCCAAGAAAAAAAGAAGGGAGAATTGACATTTTGCATCTTCGATGGTACCACATGCACACGTTAGCAAGACAGCATTCTTGGCACCCACATTGGATGTTGCTGCTGCCCTCTTGTGCTGCTCTTTCTACTTGGCTATGAGTTATGACCTAATTTTTTAGAAATATGCCACTACCTCCATTGATTGCACAATGACAATTCAAGCACGCAATAATATTTTCACGCGTTAACATAATGATTTAAACTCTAAAGTACTTCATATTTTAAATAAACTTCGACACGTTGCTCATCAATGTCGTAATATAGAAATTAATTCTTGACAATGAAGGTCTATAGAGTAATTGCAACCTTTATTCTCCTCTTCTACCTATCTTTTCATAAGAGTTTTATCCAATTAATCCGCCCAAAAAAAAAAAAAAAAGGAAAAAAGAAAATAATTATGGATCAATAGAAATTGAAAAGGATGGGTCAATAATAAATTTTTGGATGGAAACTTCAAGATTAAGAGAAAGAATACGTGCATTCTAAGTTTCTAATCTTTAGACTTAGATTTATTAGTAAATAAATATCGTTTTATGAAGTAGATTTAAATTTTAAATTTTAAAGTTTCAAAAATAAATTAAATTAAAAATGCATACAAATTGATTTGAAGGCATCATTTTTTTTTTAATTTCTATCCTTAAAATATAAATTAAATCTCATTAAATATAATATTTATAGTTAATTTACATAAATTTTTATATTAGATTCAATTAAAATAAAATGTATAATATAAAATAAAAATAAAATAAAATATTTTTAACTCAAAATCTATAAAAAAAATGAATTTAATACAAAATTTTATATAAAATTAATTATAAATACTATAATTAATAAAATTTAACACAAATTATTAAACTACAGGTTAGACAACCAAACACTACAAGAAAATTCACATTTAGTGACTAAATTATTGATCATTAAATCTTTATTTTTCGTCATAAATTATTATTAGTGATAAAATTTAAACCGTTGGTAAAACCCTTGTCACTAACGCTCTTAGTGACAAATTAAACACCTGTCATAAAAAATAATTTTATAGTGATAGAAAAAATTGATATTATTAACAAGTTATTTATAATAATTTTATTCGTCACAAAAAAAATATTCGTCACAAATGCAATTATGATACAAAATTTAGTCATT